TGGTTAATTGTCTCCCGGGCGTCGCGGGTCCCGCCGGAGGTCGGCCTCGGACGCCGGAGGGGCAGAGTCTCTCGGCCAGCGGGGCGGGCAGGCGGGCGTCGCGAAGCGCGACTTCTCAGCTTCCGGTCAGGACCGGAAGTTGTGGTTACTAAGGCGACGCCAAGCCGCCGGCCAGGTGAGCGGAAACCCCTGCTTCCGCTCTGCGGTGCAAGCGCTTCTCACGTGCCCTTGGGCTCCCTTCACATCCTGGGTCTCCTCGAGGGGATCCAAGGGGCCCGTCTCCTGGTCTCAGGCTATTCCCGGCCCCCCAGGAACCCCAGGTAGGATCCGAATGGAGGTTCCCCTGAGCTTCCGCTTGGGGACTGCAGGGCTAAACATTCCCAGATCTGTGCCTCCGTGTCCCTGGAGCAACATCAGCTCCAGCTCTGGGAAGCACAGGGTTAGAGCAGAGATCAGCCGATTGGAGGAGTGTATTTCTAGCAGGAGGGCCGGGGTCAAGCGGGAGAATTTTCTGTTAGGATTACTGAATGAAGATTGCTACTTGAGGAAATCCTAAAATGGTTACCACGAACAAAGTGGGGGCAAAAATAGATTACAACGAAATTGCACCAATGAACGGACCTCCTGTGGGGCTTGAAGACATGGAACCCCAGCCATTCCATAGCAATGTTTTAATTTTTGATTGATTGATTGATTGATCTTAAGAAAGAGAGGGAGGGAGAGAGAGAAACATGGACCTGTTGTTCCACCCATATATGCCTTTATTGGTTGACTCTTGTATGTGCCCTGATCAGGGATCAAACCCACAACCTTGGAGTATCTGGATGACACTCTAACCAACTGCGCTACCTGGCCAGGGCCACAGCAGCAATTTTATAAAATGCCCCCCCCTATAATTACAAGTTAAGGTCGCCTATTTTTTTAATCTTTGGTCCCTTGTTCAGACCTACCCCTAACACTTGCAGGCCCCCGGGGGTAGCAGTATAAATAGAGACCCACATACCATACATTTAAATATTTAAAAGTTTTAAATCAAAGTAACACATTGTTAAATATGTTCTGTTCTCTTCTCCTACCTTGACAAATATCTATATATATATATAGATATCTATATATCTATATATATATAAAAGCCTAAGCGGTCGAATGACCAAATGACTGGTTGTCCGGTCGCTATGATGTGCACTGACCACCAGGGGGCAGACACTCAACACACAGGATTGGGCTCCCTCCTGTCTGGATCGGGCTTGTGGGGATTGGGCCGAAACTGACTCTCCGACATCCCCCGAGGGGTCCCGGATTGCGAGAGAGCGCAGGCCAGGCCGAGGGACTCCACCGGTGCACGAATCCGTGCACCGGGCCTCTAGTACTTTTGTAATGATCTAGAAGTCATTTCACATTCAGAATTCTTGGGCTCTTTGGAATACCTGGAAACATAGCCAGAATATTGTACTCAGGGGAGAGCTGGCCCCAGTCCCTTCCCACCACTTCTCTTCCCATTTCTGGCTCTTACCCACATCACCGAGTGTGTGGATACTCCAAGCCACATCCAAGTTCTGCCCATACCCCTTCGATCAGCCATGCCTTGGTCACCTTTCAGGTCTAGGGGTGCACACATTAGCAGCTGGGGGAGAAAAGCCAGGAAGAGGTTCTTGCAGGTACCATTTGGGCAGTAAGTTTCAGGGGTATAGGTGCCCTGAACATGGTCTAGACTCCAGAAGGAGGCATCTGGACTTTGGGGTGGTATATCCTCTCGGCCCCACAAATTTACCCCTTCTTGCACAGGGCGGTGCCTGGAACAGAGCCAGAAGTATTCAAGTTCATAACCCAGGGCAGGGCATTACCGCAAGAAAATAAGAATTTGCTGAATGCTGGCTATGACCTACCACTTGAGCTCTGGGCCTCAGGTATTAGGTTACTGAGGGACACAAGTAAAGAGCTAAGCACAACACACGTTCGACAGCAGTTACTGGAAGTGCTTGAAGTGCCCTGGTCGGAGGGGAGGGGAGGAGAGGGAAAAGTCACCGCTCAGTACCCAGCTGGCTGGGGCACAGCCATTTGCAGAGATGGCGGAACCAGGAGAAGACATGAGTTGGGGGGGGGGTTCGGAGGTGAATTCTCTTTGGGATAGAAAGACCGCCTCGCCTCTCCTTTATCAGGAGGTGAAGAAAGGCAACACGGTTTCCAGAGTCCTGTGTTTCCATCCTAGCACACCTCATCTTTGGCTAGCCTGTCTCTGCTGACGTCCTTACTAATGTGAAGAGCGTATCTTAGTAAGTTGATAACCACCCCATAATAAACATGGGAAGTGCCATTCCCTAGAATAAATAGTCCCCATAGAATGTTATGCTTGTGCTAGAGATGATGTACTGTTTGAACTTCACTATTTATTTATTTTTAAATATATATATTTTTTGAAAATATATTTTTATTGATTTTAGAGAGGAAGGGAGAGGGATAGAGACAAAGAAACATCAATGATGAGATGACCGGCTGCCTCCTGCACGCCCCCTACTGGGATCGAGCCCACAACCCGGGCATGTGCCCTTGACTGGAATCGAACCTGGGACCCTTCAGTCCACAGGCCTAGACTCTACCCACTGAGCCAAACAGGCTAAATATATTTTGATTTCAGAGAGGAAGGAAGAGGGAGAGACATAGCAATGATGAGAGAGGATCATTGACCGGCTGCCTCCTGCATGCCCCCTACTGGACCCAGGCATGTGCCCTTGCCCGGAATCGAACCTGGGACCCTTCAGTCCGCAGGCCGACGCTCTATCCGCTGAGCCAAACTGGCTAGGGCTGAACTTCCCTTATTTTCTCTAATACCTTTACTTCCTTCCTTTAATCAGCTCCTCAGTCTCAGAGCCGTTCCCAGTGCCGCCTTCTGTGATGTCATCCCTCAACGAAAGCCGGGCCCAGAAGATGAGGCTGCCTTTGTTTACACAAAAGAGGCAGCTGGAGGTGCCGACCCCGTCGGAGAAGGACTGGTCGAAGGATGATGAAGAGAGTTACGTCTTCAAGGACCCACACCAGGAGCTGGATTCCCTGCCTCAGCCGTATCGCATGATCAACAAGCTGGTGAACCTTCTGTTCGACCGGGCGTGGGAAATTATCGAGGAGAGGGACGCCCTGCGGGAGGTGGAGCTCAGCCGGATCCGGCCCACCGTCTACCCTCCAATTTTAGAAAACAAGGTACGGAGAAGCTGACCAGGGGCCCCTCCCTGTTTCCCAGTTGAGTGTTAATAAATCAAAACATGGCCGGGCCGGTGTGGCCCAGTGGTTGCACATCGACCTATGAACCAGGAGGTCACGGTTTGATTCCCGGTCAGGGCACACGCCCAGGTTGTGGGCTCGATCCCCAGTGTGGGGCGTGCAGGAGGCAGCCAATCCATGATTCTCTCTCATCATTGATGTTTTTATCTCTCTCTCCCTTTCCCTTCCTCTCCATATCCTATATAATAAAGAGCTAATATGCTAATTAGACCAAACAGCAGGATGACCATCCGGACGACCTTCTGGATGAAGCCGGGGCTGTGAGGGCCTACCTTTGCACAAATTTCGTGCATCAGGCCTCCAGTGAATAATAAATGAAAACACCTCATCCAGGGAAGGAATTCCTACCAGGAGCCTTCCTACCAGGAGCACCGGCATGCCTAGACAGCTGCATTTCTTTTAAAAGAGTCTAGGCATGCCGGTGTTGCCTGGAATGGATTTGGTCCGTGTCTGTGGAAACGGGGGTTCTGGCTAATAGAGGATGACACAGCAGGTCTTTTATGTTCAGCCGCTGTTATTTTGATATCTTTCTGAATGTAGTCATCACTCTCTTGCTTGATGGGTGAGAATCTGCCAGCGCCTCCACGATAGCTCTTTCCACAGTGTTTTTTGGTTTTGTTTAATATATATTTTTATTGATTTCAGAGAGGAAGGGAGAGGGAGAGAGAGATAGAAACATCAATGATGAGAGAGAATCATGGATCGCTGCCTCCTGCACGCCCCACACTGGGGATTGAGCCCGCAACCCCGGGCATGTGCCCTGACTGGGAATCGAACTGTGACCTCCTGGTTCATAGGTCGACGCTCAACCACTGAGCCACAATGTTATAGATGAAAGTGGTTCAGGGAATGTGGCCACACATACTGTAGTGACTAAACATTTACTCTCCACTTTTTTTTAAAATATATTTTATTGATTTTTTACAGAGAGGAAGGGAGAGAGATAGAGAGTTAGAAACATCGATAAGAGAGAAACATCGACCAGCTGCCTCCTGCACATCTCCCACTGGGGATATGCCCGCAACCAAGGTACATGCCCTTGACCGGAATCGAACCCGGGACCCTCCAGTCCGCAGGCCGACGCTCTATCCACTGAGCCAACCCTGTTTCGGCTACTCTCCACTTCTCTGTTTTCTCTGGCCCCACCCCCCTAAAAGTGGAGTGCTATGACTTCCTCTTATTTTTCCCTTTTTTTTGTTAATCCTCACCCGAGGATATTTTTCCCATTGATTTTTAGAGAGAGTGGAAGAGAGAGGGAAAGACAGAGAGAAACATCCATGTGAGAGAAACACATCAATTGGTTGCCTCCTGCCCTAGCTCCGACCAGGGCCCGGGCCCGGGAGGAGCCTTAACCGAGGTACGTACCCTCGACTGGAATCGGACCCTTCGGTCTGCAGGCAACGCTCTATCCACTGAGCCAAACCGGCTAGGGTGGCTATGACTCCTTGATACATGGGCACAATACGAAAATGAGCCTGTGTTTGGGGAGGATATTATATGTAGGAAGGACCCACATCCCTCTTTGAAATGTTAACATGTTGCTCGCAGACAGTGGCAGCTGGAAAATCCTTTTTTTTCCCCTCTCTTTGTTCTTTGTTTTCCCAGCTCAGCAAAAGGCCAAGATGCCTAGCGGTTTCCCAGGACTATGTGTTTATTGCAGGAGCCAAAGGCTTCTCTATCTACAATCTGCACGATGCTAAACAAATCTATGTTTACGAGAAATTTAAGGCCGAGGTCATGTCCATCTGGGCCACAGACTTGGGGAACGAAACACTGATGGCTCCTGTGGATGAAATGGGTACTTGTTCTTCATCTTCCTTTAGCCTCATTTACATGCACCTGTAGACCGAGCGTGTCAAACTCAAGGGCTAACACGGGCCCAATAAACAAGGTTTAAGTTTATGTGGCCGCAAAAAAACAAAAGCTTCCATTTTCATAGAAACGTAGGTTTATTTCGAAAAGTATAGTATTTATAAAAAAAAGCACAAGAGCAATGATAAGATTCATGTTTTCTTCCTGACACTTGGCATCTCCTCTCTGCTACCATCTTTCCTACTTCGGGGGAAGTCTTGTTCGCAGCGATCACTTTCAATACTGACCCATGGTGAATGTCAGTAATTCTGGATCTGACAGGAGACTTATTTCCTTTTATAATCCTATATAATAAAAGCCTAATATGCAAATTGATCGGTGGAACGACCAGTCGCTATGACGCACACTGACCACCAGGGGGAAGACGCTCAATGCAGGGGCTGCCCCCAACCTGCAGGTCCCAGGCCAGCCAAGGCAGGTGCCAGCAGGGGCCCCCCAATCGCCCCGCTGTTGGCCCACAGATCAGCCCTGATTGCTGGCCAGGCCTAGGGACCCTACCCGTGCATGGATTTCATGCATCGGGCCTCTAGCTGTACCAGTAAATAACTGCTCACACTGTTATGTTGGCTGGCCCACAAAAATATTCGTTATGGGCTGTATGCGGCCCGTGGGCCACGAGTTTGACATGCTTGCCGTAGACCGTTGTTCATTTCCTTCCCAGGGGTGGGCAGGGCCAGACATTGGCAAGTTCTCCCTGGTCATGTACGGTGTACCAGGCACTCTCCCAACATTTCACATACTGGCCCTTTAACCCTCAGCACAGCCCTAGGAGGTAAGTATACTTTTCAGAGGAGGCAACCGAGGCGCGGAGGTGAAATGACTCACTTGAGGTAACACAGGAAGTAAATGGCGCTGGCGGGATTCGAACCAGGCAGGAGGCCCCGGAGTCCACACCCCGCGGGCACTCAGCAATCCTGCCGCTCACAGAAACCAGGGCTTGCTTTCCCCCTCAGCCCGAGGACGAACCAGGCCCTCATGGGGACTGCAGCGTAGAGGGCTGCAGACAGGGTCCGGGGGCCCCGTCTCTGAGGTGGCTGGGCCTGGTGGACAGGTTAGGAAGGGCGCACTGGTAGGAGTCTGCAGAAGCCGGACAAGAGGCAGAGAGACGAGAAAGAACCACTGTGTGCACTGAGGGGAGAAACGATGGCCTGGACCAGGGCAGGGGCCGTTCACATGATGAGGAAGACTGCACTGTGGTTACACGCGATGCTCACACGAGGGGAAGTGAGGGGAGGGACATCAGAGAATTCTCTGTTCTATTTTCACAAGTTTTCTCTAAGTCTAATATTAAGTTCACAAATATAATAATAATATATAATAAAAAATAATAATATAAGTTAAAAAAAAAAGCTTTAAAAATGAAAAGGAAGCCCTGGCCGGTTTGGCTCAGTGGATAGAGCGTCGGCCTGCGGACTGAAGGGTCCCGGGTTCGATTCTGGTCAAGGGCATGAACCTCAGTTGCAGGTTCCTCCCTGGCCCATGCCCTGGTTGGAGCGTGTGTAGGAGGCAACCAATCGATGCGTTTCTCTCACATCAGTATTTCTCTCTGTCTTTCCCTCTTCCTTCCACTCGCTCTAAGAATCAATGGAAAAATATCCTCGGGTGAGGATTAAAAAAAAAAAAAAGGAAGATGTAATGGGAAAACTGGGTGAGTGATGAGGTATGTGTATGGGGCAGGGAGGTCAGTGAGGGGGAGGGAAGAAAAGGACTCTATTCTGCCTTAGATCACAGCTCGATGCTGAAGCCGCTGTGGGAGAATAGGGCTTCAGGGGTCGGTGCGTTCCATTGCACGTGCCCAGCTTTGGTCTAATCGCGCCGTATCTGGTCAGGTTCACGTCTGTGTGACCCTCAGCGTGATGAGTCTGCGGGCAGGGGCTGCCTGGCTCGTCCCCAGCACGTCCCTGGCCGGAGAGCAGGTACCCCAGGGGTGTGTACTGGGCGCACTTAGACCTCCACCCCCGTGGGCCGGTTGCCTTTGCGAGGTCTGTGTTACGGGTGGAGGGGCGGGTTCTGGGCGTCTGGGGGGCACCTAAAGGAAGGGGCGAGAAGTCAGGGGGATGTGCATCCTCTACTGGAGGGAGCCCGTAGGATACACAATAATTAGAATGACACAGATTTCTTGTGAAATCAACAAAATCAACTGTATGGGGAACTTGCTGGGGCTTGACAGGTGAGGCACATAGAAGAGTGAGATATGACCTTTCCCTCAAAGAACCTATGACCTCGCTAGAGGAATAAAACACACCCACAAGCCCGGCCGGCGTGGCTCAGTGGTTGCGAGTCGACCTATGAACCAGGAGGTCACTGGTTCGATTCCCGGTCAGAGCACATGCCCGGGTTGCAGGCTCGATCCCCAATGTGGAGCGTGCAGAAGGCAGCTGATCAATGATTCTCTCTCATCATTGCTGTTTCTATCTCTCTTTCCCTCTCCTTTCCTCTCTGACATCAAGACAAATATATTCAAAACAAAACAAACAAAACACCCACAGGACACAGGTGGGTAACCAGGTGAGGCAGAATGGGATGATGACTAGCACAGAGGACAGGAGTCAAGGAGAGGGGACCGGTGTGGCCAGAGGGCCCATGGGAGGCTCCTAGGAGAAGGGGACGGGGCTGGGGTGGGCAGGTGCCGGGTGGAGGCAGGCAGGGAGACCCAGGCCCTCCCAGCGGGGGAGGGGCGGGAGGAGGCCCGAGCGTGCAGGAGCT